CCCATGTTAAGATGCAGAAGCTCAGCAATACCAGCGTCTATGCCAGTTACACACTCTGTAAGGGCAAAGGCCAATTCCAAATCCCAACTCTGCATGGAATACTTCCCAGGGTAGAAGTTCTTTAATTTAAGTGTGCCTGAGCCTTTCCCTCAGTGTCCGTAACAAATGAAAGATTTGGGGCTACACCTCCAGAAATTGTTCTAAGGCTCTATCTGGTCATCCTTGGCTCATAATTACTTTCTAATAAACACCCATCCCCTAGGAGCTTCTGAAGCAAGAGAATGGCAGCAGTACTTTTAGAAATACTGGAGACAACCTGAGTCTGGAACAGGTCTGAGTGTACATGACCAAGAGGCTGTTAATTTACACTGTAGCATAATGATGGCGGCCTCCAAGGAAATGTCTGTATAAACAGCGGCGCTTCCTTATGTGGAAGAGTTAGACAAAGAAAGGAGAGGAAGAGGGCAGAAAGGAGAGGACAATCAAACATATTCTGCTCCATAGGAACAGGCCTGTCCCTGACAACCAGTCACACTCCCAACTAGCCTACCATCTCAGACAGTCCTTTAGGCCTCTTAAACACCGGGCATGTGATTATTGGTACCCACAAAGGAGAAGTCACAGCTTGGGCTCTCTCATTTCCAGGGTGCCATGCAAAGAAAGTCAGGTGCCTGGTCCCAAGTGAATCATAGGCAAAGTGGGATCAGAGTGTGACCCCACAGACACACAGGCACTGAGCCATGCAGCTTCCCTAGCCTAGAAGTATGAGAACATAGCTAGCCCTCCACGGGCAGGCAGTGTCACAGGAATAGTGTTATCCTGAAGAAGCCAGAGGAATCAATGTTGTAGGAAAAATAAACTTCCTGCACAGAGCCCAGTGCTCTTCTTGCCAGAAAAATAGAGTTGTGGTTCAATTTATAGGTTGGGCAAGGGGAGTGAGTTACGAGGTAAAATGTCCATCCAAAGTATAAAGGAAAGTACTGACTACAGGTGTAACTCACAGGTAGAACCCTTGCCTAGTCTGGACCAAGCCCTGCATCCAACCCTTGGCACAGTGACATAGGCAAACATAAGTATTTTTTTTATTCTGCAACTGAGGACTAAAGCACACTTCCTTTGGTATCTTGTGTTGCATTCTTTGGTGACCTTTAAAAAATGATGCTAGAAATAAAAATTACAGCTCGAAAAGGCAACCAAAGAGGGTGCCCTGGAGACAGGGTGTAGAGTGAATCACCTATCTGAATGCTTAAACATTCTAGGTGGAATCAAGGATCCAATGTTAAGGCATCTTCTTCATTACCTTCTGTATATGAGCCTTTCCTTGCAGCAAGAGAATGAGATGCCTCTTGGCTACCAAAACAGACATAGTCAGGGTTACATACTCGGAACCATCTTGGGTGACTCAGACAAGTCCACACCTCATTCATTAGGCACTGGTGCAAGTTTCTGTCACTGCATGGTATGCGGACCTGCACCATGATTTGCCCCTGGGGAGACTTCCACTTTGATGAGTATTTCTCATGTCTGTCATGCATCGTCCTTGTAAGGGTGTGCATACACATGTGTTGTCCAGAGGTCATCCTCAGGCATTCCTCAGGAGTCACTCAGTTTTTGAGATAATGTCTCTTACTGGGAATGGGGTTCACCAATTAGGCTGGTCAACCAGTACATTCCAGGGATCTTCCTATATCTGCTCCCCAGTGCTAAGATAGTAAGTACCCAGCTTTTTATGTGGGTGCTGGAGATTGAACCCACATCCTCATGCTTGTTTATCAAGCACCTTTATCCACTGAGGCATCTGCCCAGCCTCCAGGAGGGATTCCATTTTCATTAGTTTTTGAAAGGGGTAACCACATGTGAATCATATAAATGAAGGCATCTAAGGGTAGAATAGAGAAATGTCAGTGATTATACTGAAATAGCAGATACAGGCTGGGTCCATCCAGAGAAAATGGGGACATATAGTCATTCTACTTATGAAAGAAGTGAAGAAAAATAAGACACACAAAGCAGAGTCTCAGCTGACATGAAACATGAAAAATTACTTTTGTTGTGATGAAGATTCATCATCACAAAACCTATAAAGGCTGATTAATGCAGTCCCTTATAGCTACAAAACTTCTTTGTCACTCTCTCGTAATAATGGTAAATACTCCATTGGGTCATCAAGAGGTTCAAATGATTAAGATTAAGTAAAGCACTTAGAACAGTGCCTGACACATAGTGAAAGACATAAATGTGCTGTATACTATTACTAATCAATAATAACAAAGAGAAATGCTCTGTAACAGTACAGTGAAGTCAAACTGCAAGCAGAGCATATTGTTCCCAGGAATGGCAGGACCTCTCACCACAAACGCCAGCTGTTTGCCCTTTGGAGTCTTACAAATCCTCCATGCAAGCCTATTCCTAGCTGGATTTCTGCTGACTCATCAATCTTGACCTTTTTGTCTGTCCATTTCACCACCTTGACTCACTACAACACTCCACATATTTTGCTTCTGGGCCTAGATTACTGGACAAAATACTCCAGAGTTCCTTGAAAATTCTTTTGTAGACTATTCCCCAATTCTCTCATTTCTTATAAAGCCCTTCAGATTTCTATCGTCTCCTCTAACTCTATAACCCATTTTCCTTCTCATTCATAGGGACAGTGTAACTGGGTATAGAGGCTCAGGCCTAGAACCCTAGCACTAGGGAGGCAGAAGCAGACTGGTCACACGTTGTAAGCACAATGAGACCCTATCTTAACAACAACAAAAGACAGGAGACCTAGAGGCCACTGGGCAGAGACTACATACATTAGTTCATGTCCATGACCAAGGTCAAGACCTTTGTAGCTCTGGAGCCCCACCCCGCTTAGTGTCCTCTGCTCCTCTGCCGTGTTGGTTGAAATACAAGCTTGCAGCATTCTTGCACAGTTTACATCTTCCAACCCCCCCTCCACCCTACCTTTCCTCTCTCCACTGCCCGGCAGCATGTCCTCCAGGCTCTTTCTCACATCTGTTTATTCCTGAAGCCATTGAACTCTACTACCTGCCACTTCACAAACCTACCCTGAGAGAGGTCCTCAGTGAATGTGCTGGTGCTGAAACTGAGGGATGTTTCTTCATTATCAATGACTTCACAACTCCACCACTCCTGACTTGGTTCCTGCCTCCTTGAGAGGCTCTCCTGCCATGGCTTCTCTTCAGCTTTCCCTCCTTTCAGGCTTTTCCTTCCCATGCTGAGGGTTCCTCTTCTGCACTCCCAGTTCTGTCCTGGTCATCTTTTATTTTCTTTCCAGGACACCATGTGCTAAATTCAAAGCCTGTGTCTCTACCAGATATCCCCTATCTATCCAATTGATCTTTCTATCTTCTACCAACTCTTCAAGCTGGAAATGACCACAGTCACCCTCATTAGTCTAAACCCTGGGCATCTTATCTGAATGGCTGCTATTACTATTTACCAAGGGTTCAAGCCAGAAACTTAGGACTTGTGCTTGACTTTCTCTAGCCCATCTTTTACTGCCAATGACACAGCCTACCAGCTGGTCTCCTCGCCTCTGGTCTGACCCTTCAAAGTATTTCTCAGGCTATTTATAACTCCAACTCCTTTCTCTGTGATTTCAGAATAAAGTTAATGTTCAAACACTGAAACCTTAACCCCAATTAGCCCATTATCTCTTAGGATGCGGTTCCTGTCTCCCACTCCAACCTTCTCATCTCTCATCAGGTTCCAAATATCTATAAACCATACTTTCAATTCCCAGATTCTTGTGTTTCATGACACCTCTAGGGGGTTGATCTGATGTCCTGCTGCTGACATGCTCTGAAGTAAACTGCTCAAAGATTGACTGTCAAAACTTAAGAACTACTAAGCTTGTAAGTCATGTGTTACCTCTTTGAATCTGCCCACCAGAAAGCACTCTCATCCCTACCAGGCTAAGTCATTTGCTTCTTTTGTGCAACCATGTGCGGTTGCTGATTGACTTGCAAGACTCCCTCACCAAACTGTGACCTTGATTAATTAGAGGCCTACCCATCTTTCATCTCCAGCCACCAGTACCAGTGTTATCTTAATAACACTCAGCAAATGCTTTACCTATTGAGCCATCTCCTCAGCCTGGAAAGCAATTCTTCTGAGAGGACCATTGTAAAAGGAGCAGGCCTGACCCCTCCTCCCAGCCTCTCTGTTCCTGCTTGCACCATCACATGCTTTTGTCTAGCTAGCTGCACCCTGGTGAGATGCATGCGAGGGTGGCCCGTGTTCAGCCTGCACAATGCTGCCAGGACCCTGACCATCTATAACTGTGAGCTAAACAAGCCTCTTTCTTCCAGAGTCAGTCCATTTCAGATACTACAGTCTGGTAACAACAGATGAATACACTCAGTACCCAGGACAATATTCCCATGACAGATATTCTGAATAGGTGAGAATTCTAAAGAGCAAAAAAGGAGTTGCCATTATCAGTTTTCATTCAGTCTTCCTTTCTCTGGATCCAATTATCTCACCTCCTTTAGCTATTCCATAAATGGCAACATACTGGATGAGCAATTTTCAATTTGACACGAAGTTATTAGACTCTCAAATGAGATTTGTAATTGGCATTCATAAGAAATCAATTATTAATAGTTCTTCCGGTTGCTCTCCCTCCATACTCTGCCTACTGAAGTGTTTACTGCTGCTCTGAAAGGCAGCCATCACCATACGGCCCCTCACACTAGTCTGTGGCCATCCTGCCCTGCAAGAGCTTCCTATGGCAAATCTTAGGGGTTAGGATCAATCTCCATTTTCTGTCTAATTAACTTCAATGTATCATTGGCCTAGTTGTGGAAAATAAGCAACGATGCCCTTAACATTAAAATACTGTACAATTCCTCTTAAATAATCAACTTGTCCTTCCATAAATCTGGTCATACTAAATAAATTTACCTTGATACCTTGAAACAATTATGCTATGAGACACTAAATATAGAACCAATAAGATAAAATGTGAAATTAATTAGGACAAACAATTTTTCAAAGTATCCTTTCAATTAGAAATTGAATGTTTACAGTTGTCTTAAAAGGAGAAAAAAGACGTCTTTGGAGCATTTAGTTTTCATCTATCACCATCATTGTTATGTAGTCCCTGTAATTAATGGCGTTTGATTCGGGATCAATTGCAGCAGACAACATTTCTTCCATTTCCTCTTGAGAAAAAGGCTCGCCTGGAGAGACAAGAAGAGATAGCATCATTTTACAGCCAGAAGGTTTTGCTCTCACTAGTCAACTATACTGCCATGGAGTCCACAGCCCCCAAGTGTGTCCAGTTTGTTCTTCACTGGAGCTGTACAACAATATTTGAGAACCCAGAAGTTCAAAAAGCATGCTGCCACACACCTGCAAGGTGTTGCAAGGACTTGTTGCCCTGCTGGGACCTACAGAATACATCTTTTTAGCCAAAATAGCAGGAGAACACCATGAATATAGTTGTTTAATTCACTTAAACTAAAATGATTGAAATTGCAAAAGTATTTGCAAAAGTATAAGCTAAAGTCTTATGAGTGAGTGTAATTATTATCTTTATTAAAACTATGGAGAGATGATTAAAAGTTAGCTATTGCTGAAGAGAGACCAGACCTTTGACTACTACATCAGGACTGCCTCGCTCACACTGGCTTAACCCCACCATGAATGGGACTCATCAAGCATCCTAAAAGTCCTCCTTCTTTCAGTCTGGGCTTGTGTTGATGTGATGAAATCAAAAGTTGGGGAGAAAATCTGGGCTTTGGTTGGACTCAGGTAACATCTGAAAGACATCTTGAAACTGGCTTCACAAGGTAGGACACAAACCGGGAGAATGCTGAAAAGGCTGCAGACTATTTAAGACACAACTATGTTCAGTGTTGAGGAAAAAGATAGGGAGTCCCAGCCATCACCAGATCTTTGTGGGGAAAGCCTTATGCTCACTGTCTACAGCACCAAGGCTTGAGGAGGGTCACCTACCTTATGAGCCTAGGATACTTCGCACTGTCCCCAGGACTTCTTATGTTGGGATTCAGGGACCAGTTACAGAACTTATGTAGATAGGGACTCTGTGGCTTTTGTGGGTTTTGTTTTGTTTTGTCTTCTTGTTGTGTTTTGAGACAGAGTCCTGACACATCCAAGAGTCTGACTTCAAACTCACACTCCTCTTACCTTAGTCTTCTGAGTGCTAGTGTCACAAGTGGACAACATGATGCTTCCTAGGAAAGAATTCCTGAAATGCTGAAGTGGCAAATTCTGGATGTTACCTGACTGTCAGACGCTAAATCCACTGCCAAGTGAACCTGGATGTAAGTCTCAAAAGGATGCTAACAATGGGTGCCACTACAGTCCCAGCACCCAGGGTGAAGAAGATAGTGACTTTAAGGCTAGGCTTAGCTTTGTCTTAAACAAATAAAAAATAACCATGGTCTGAGACATAGATTAGTGACAGAATGAGTAATCTACCATGTGTAAGGTCCTGAGGATCCCCCAGTATGGGAAGGAGGGAAGAAGGGAGTGAGGGAGACAGGGAGACAGGGAAGGAAGGAGGGGTAGAAGGAAGGAAGAGAGGGAAGGAGGGAGGAAGGGAGGGAGGGAGAGAAGAAGAGAGGAAAGAAGGAAAAGGAAGGAGAGAGGAGACAGAGAGAGACAGAGAGAAAATACTCAACAGCAAATACTGCTTTGAGACTAGCACTGATCTAAGTGTTTCTCATATATTAACTAAGTTAATCTCCCAAGCACCTCACAAGGAGAACTATCATGTCCATTTATAGCACCATTTATAGCCCTGCAAGGGAGTGGGGACTGAGTCTGAGGCCAGCCTACCAACCTTAGCTGAAGTGCTCCACTGCACTGCTTAGACTAAGCCTTGCTCACAGCAGTCATATGGAAAGAGCCATACATACAGTATTTGATCTAGGACAGCAGGAAAACCTGCTTAACACTGCAAAGCACAAGCCTCCTTCATTCAAGTCCTGGTTCTCACTTGCTTAATGGTCTTGGGCGGGTTGCTTACCCTCTCTTCCCAGTCTACACAACACAGACAATGGTGACACTCTCCACCCAGGGCCTGGGTTACGGATTAAATGTGTTATTCAAAGAGCACTTCCACAACCATCTGACGAATCTCAGCCTGCATTTGTTTTTAAAAGACTTGAGATACCACCTGACGCAATGTACATCCTGGGCTAACATGGATTCTGTCTTGTAGGTTCTTGATGCAGTATGCTTTATGGTGTTTATCTTACAATCTCCTGGGCATTTAGAGCATACATTCTCAAACTTAGAGACGTGCTGACTGCTCTGCGGATACTATGAACGGATTGTAGAAGTAACTTAGAGCCCCAGAGGTTGGATATACTTACAAACAATTTAAAACTTGGAGAATAAAAACATCACTTCTTAGGCAGGCCAATACTCAGAAGGCAGAGGCAAGTGGATCTCTGAGTTCAAAGCCAGCCTGGTCTACAAAGTGACTTCCAGGGCAAAGAGTGATACACAGAGAAACCCTGTCTCCAAAAAAAAAACAAACAAACAAACAAAAAAAAATCAGTTCTTAAGCAATCAACCATTTTACTGAGCCGGGCAACTGCAACTGCAGTTTTAGAGAAAGAACATGCTATATACACTAATGATGGTAAATTAAGATATCATGGTGCATCTTATATCCACCTATCAAATATGCTGGCTCATACAACAAATTAATAATTAAAGAAATTAAATAATGTTGAATAAATAACTAAAACCATTTATGATCTTCTCTGGAAAAAAAAAAAAGCCTGATGCAGGCTCCAACTATTAGGACATACAATTGTCCTGGAAGTACAAAAGCGCTGGATGGATGCCGTGCTGGCTTGAATGGGAATGGCTCCCACAGACTCAGGTTTGAATGCATGGTCACAGGGAGGAGCATGATCAGGAAGTGTGGCCTTGTGGGAGGAAATGGGTCACTGGGGGCTGACTGAGGTCTCAAACACTCAGGTGTAGCCAGTGTGTCTCATTTTCTTCCTTCTGTCTGTAGATCCAGATGCAGAACTCTCAGCTCCTTCTCCAGCACCGTGTCTGCCTGGATGCTGCCATGTTTCCCACCATGATTAAAATGAACTAAACCTCTGAAGTATAAGCCAAACCCAATGACATGTTTTCCTTTATAAGAGTTGCTGTCACCATGGTACCTCTTCACAGTGACAGAAACGCTAGCTAAGACATAGGCGTTCCTGGGGCTTCTCATACAGCACCTTCCTGTGAGCCACACAGCCTTGCTGTCCCCATGCACAGTGCAGCCAGTGCCTGACTTCACTCTTTCAGTCACAGCATTACTATCATGATGACCCATGGGCCATGGCAAATCTTGGTGTTACTTTATACTCATCTCACATATTTGTCCCCTGCCCTCTGCTGGTCACCATGGCCCCGGGTGCTGTGATAGAGTCCTACGGCATCAGCTCCTTCTTTCCATTCACTATGCCAGGGCAGGCCCATACCAGAGAGCCTTGGGGCTCCAGGAGCCCCCCAGCTCATCTCCTGGCTGAACCTTTCTTACTCAACTATAAACTGACCAGCAGCAGAAGCACTCTCACACTGCACCGCCACACTGACTCAGCGTTCTTCTCTAGGGATGACCCAAACTCAAGGACAGGCCTCTATAATTTATCCCCAAGAAATCCACCTCCATTCCTTTCCTGTTGGGGTCAACAAGATCCCTGGGGCTGCCTGAGCAGCCTTCTTCCTCATGCCTGGTTGCCTTCCTTCCAGATTTTGTTCCAGTTGCTTTATCCATTTCCCTCAAAGAGCCCTCCCCATTTGTGTTCATTCAACTACATCCCTGGTTTATCTGTAGCTCATTTGTTACTGTTCATATACTGATACCTGTGATTTGTGAGGGAACTATAACATATAAAATCTTATTAAACCTGCCCTCAATGACTTGCCCTATCTCAAGCAAAGCACAGTGGCCCCCATCTGTAGTCCATCTGCTCCATCTGGGAGGCTAAAGCAGGAGAATTTCTGTGAGTCTCCTGACAGCCTGGGATACATACTAAATGCCAGATTCACCTGAGTTACAGAATGCAACCCTGTCTTAACTAAAGCAAGCACACAGATCTATCTTTCAAGGAAGCTATTTTCTCTGTTGGCCTTCCCAGGCTAAGCTTCCCAGGCTAGTTTCAGCTTGCATTGATCTTCTGAAGGTTATTTTTCTAATGTCTCATATTGATCTATTTCACATGTTAGCTTTGCTTCCCTAATAAGACTGTAATATGCTTAAGAAAGAGATCAGATTATTATCAGATATTATCCAGTATCATTACCACCTACTGTGCACTAACAACACTAAACATACAATAGGCACACAGTAGGAATTACTGAACCTCTTTCACTGTTTTTATTAATTTTATGTTCCTGTGGATAACCCTGGTGCTGTTTCTATTTTGATGCTAAGTCAGCTTCTCCAAGAGGAGCTGCCGAGAAAGAGGAGTGAGTCCTGTACTCAGGACTTCATGTGACACTTCTAATGAATAAAGAAACCAATCGCTGGGCGAGTAGGTGGGACTTCTGGGTCGGACAAAGGGATGGCAGAAGAGGAGAGGAGAGTGGGCCAGAGGACAGGAGATAGAGGTAAAAATGTGGAGAGCAGAGCCCCCATTTGAGGCGGCAGATCCATTTAGATCCGCTACCGGGAGACTTAACTTAGAATGGCTTTTAAACTAGGATGATAGTTGTTGCACCCAGCAACCGAGTTACCATTGAGTCTGAACTAAGTTTGTGTGATGTTTTCCTTCACACAGGGACTTGACTGAGTTCCAGAGAGAAAGGTATGGTGGCAAAGCATGGGTTTACAAGAAGTGCACCCCAAAAGGCCATGGTGTATCTGAAGATAGTGGCAGTGTACTCATATACATAAAATAAATAAATAAATCTTTTAAAAGATATTAGAGAGAGAGAGATATGAAAGAATTACTTATTTTTTTATTTATATGAGTACACTACAGCTGTCTTCAGCCACACACTAGAAGAGGGCATTGGATCCCATTACAGATGGTTGTGAGTCACCATGTGGTTGCTGGAAACTGAACTCAAGACCTCTGGCAGAGCAGTCAGTTCTCTTAACCACTGAGCCATCTCTCCAGCCCTGCTTAGGTGGTTTTAACACCATGTGCCATCCTGGATGGCAACTATGACTTTACTATTACTCCTTCTCTCGTCCCTGTTCCCTAATGGTGAACTGAGACAAAATGGTCCAAGCAGGTATACACAGGGCATCAATACTGCTTTCCTTGCTCAAACTGCCACTATGTCCACGTTCCCAAGTGACATGTGACAGCTGCATCACTCAGGACTCATCTGGGAGCTGAGCAGAGGAAGCAGAACTCCTCTCTTACTACCAGAATGATGGGGTGACAACAGGCATTAATGACTGCCCACCAAGCCACTTACAGTAAGGGGAAACACATGGATAGACTGACCTAAAGAGAGAGAGTTTAAAAGAAATATACAGTATTTGTGGAAGGAGGTCCCATTATCATAAGAAAACATAGTTTTGGTGTAAATTCACATCTAGTTTAGGCTATATTGTTTGCAACTTTACCACCTAAGAAGGTCTTTTAAAAGAAATTTCTACATACTTTAATTCAAATCTTCTATCTAAAAAGGCATTGGTTTATGATTCATGTTCCTTAAGTGGCATATCTTTTCAGAAAATATTTTTATTTATTTATTTATTTATTTATTTATTTATTTTTCAAATCGTAATTTGTACTTATTCACACAGGAGTTATAAACACAGAAAGGCAGGACATGGGGAAGGGGATGACACTGGAGTATGGGTGTTCAGGGGGAATACAGATATTTTTCAGAACAGGGTATCGGCTGGGTGAAGGTTCAAGGGACAGGTCACTATGACTCTGCCTATGATTCACTTGTCCTTATCTAAGTTGGTATTGTCTGCCAAGGTTATCTATTTACAAGGTCTATGACTACTCAGGCTGGTAAATTTCCACAAAAGCTGCCTGTTTACAATAGCTTATAGCCATCTGTTTCAATGTTTTTCCACTGAGACCCAAGACTTGGTGTTAGTATACATGTATGACAGGCCTATGGCTGATTTTAGGCCTATGGCTGATTTTAGGCCTACAGTGTATAAGCAGGGCTGCCCCTGACATCTCCTCCCTTCTCTAAGTATAGAAGGGCTGTGGCAATTCTAGTCTTGGGAAGGCGGGGATAGAGGCATGACCTCCAGAAGGGGAAGAAAATATTTAATGTAAATAAAGTAAGCACAATTTATGCAAGTAATCATTATATTTCTATTATACAAAATCAAATAGCAAACCAAAATAATAGAAATAATAAATAACTATTTAACCAAACAATTACTTTTAAAGTATCATCTCCTATAAAATTTGGATAATTGTTAAAAACATATTAATTGGGGCTGAAGAGAGAGCTCAGCAATTAATGCCACACTCTTGCAGAGAATCTGAGTTCAGTTACTATGTAACTCCAGCTCCAGGGAGACCAGATGATTCTGGCCTCCATGGATAATGCACTCATATGCACAGACACACATACACACATACATGCACACACACACACACAGAGTTTTAAAACATCTTTTAAACCTATTAATGTTTGCATAAATTACTCTTATAAGAAATAAAGCCCACTGACCTTCCTCAGTCATGTACTTGACCAGCTCATCCTTAGTCAGAAACCCACGTTTAGCAGGATCCAAAACCTGGGGAAAGTAGGTATCATATATTGTCTTTGTTGAACAAATTTTATGTGATGAATTAATTCATCACATACACATGAATAATGTAGAGCTCACCCACCTCGAAAGCTCGCAGAAGGACATCTTCAGCAATTGGTCTGTATCTGTGATTTTACAATAAAATCAGTTAATGCCGGCATATTTATCTCAGTCTCTATGATAAATGACTGCATAAAACAAACAAAACAAAAGCTGCTAATATCTTAGGCTAATGGCATTTCCCTCGATGAAATTTCTTTCTAGATATGAAAATCAGCAGTACCTACTCCCCAGGAATGTTTGGCATTACCTATTAGCAATTTTTCATTAATATGAAAATAAACTTGTTTAGAGCCAAAACCTCTACACTCAGCTGTGGTGTGCGAAAGATATACTAGAAAAGTAACTGGCACTAATTTTTATCTTAAAACGATAATTCACAATTAAATATAACTACAATATTGCTCTTTTATGTAGCTCCTTTGCCATTTAATTATGCCTTGCTTAGATCAATAAATACTACATGGTTGATATTTCTAAGCTTATCCTAAACCAGATTGAAATACACTGAAAGTCTAGAGAAAGTCACCATAAGATATATACTGGGTAAATAAAAGATGAAAATCCAAGTGCTTTTATTTTCTTTTGAAGCAGGATCTTACTCTGCAGTTCAGGCTGGCTTGGAACTATGTAACCAAAGCTATCCTCAAATTCATTGTCATCCTCCTGCTTCATCCCCTTAAGTACTAGAGTCGGCCAAGTCAAATGTTTTCACATTAATGTAATTCTAATCATTATCTTGCCTTAAAATTGGATTTACTTCCTTACTTTCTTTCCATAAGTACTCTGGTCATCACTGGAATAAATTTTTCAAATCGAATGTATCCAGTAGGTTCTTCTTCCTCTACCTAAAATTAAAAACAGTCATTTATTCACTCAACAAATATATTGAGCAACTACTTTTGTTTTCAAACACTGAGCCAAATGTTGGAATTTGATGAGGAGGATATAGGCATAAATCCTGCTTATAGAGCTTGTTTGTGCTAGGAGAGACACATGTAATTCAAAATACCACAATACTAGCAGCTAGGAGATAGCTCTGTGCTTGCCATGCAACCAGGGGCACCTGAACTCAATCCCTAGTACCCGCATAAAAAGCAAGGTGTGCAACTGCACAGTGAATTATCGCTTACAGTTAACCTCTGGCATGTGCATGCCTGTGCACACACTGAGCACAATACTAAGTATCCAATCTGTTTCATAGAGTAAAAGTCCCTGTCTTTTTAGGGTAATCTAAAACTTTCACTGATCCTCCTATGGCCCCATAAATGGTGGCATGCCAGACATGAACCACCATCCCTGGTTTGGATGTCTAATTCGAGATACATGCAAGCATGATGAGGAAGGAGTGTGGGTCTAGAGGAGCACACAACACAGGAACCTTCTCCAAGCCGGGTGTCAGGGAAGTCACCAGAGAGTGTGCTATTTGATCTGGTTTGCAAGGACAAGAAGAGTGGGGCTGGAGCACAGATCCCAACAGGCTCAGTTCTTCACTGGAGAGGGACAAGGCCTTACCACTCACAGGATTTCCATTCCCTGTTATCCTGAGAATAATGTCAAATCACTGAGGGTCTCACTGGTATGTGTTGGAAAGGTCACTGTTGTAGGTGAGGTGGCTTCTTCAGATACAGAAAGATTGTGCAAACAGGAGTGGAGGCCATGAGGGGAGTAGATATTATATCCAGGAGACCTTTAAGAAGACTTGACAGGGCTGACTACAGTCACTTGTTACAGATAAGGGGGTACATAAGTCTATGATGATCCCCAGTTCTGACTGTTTTCCTTTGAAATGAATAATAGTCAATGAGATCAGATGATTCCCAGTCAGCATCTCAAGGACCAACCTACATCTCGAATCGTTCTTGTATTTATGAAATACTTACCTGAGTAATAAAACTTTGTTCTGCCATCCCTAAGGTAAGAGAATACTATTCCAAAACTGAGAACTTTTGGTACCTAGCATTATAGGATGAGAAGGAAACAAGCCTTTTCATCTGTGGTTCAACTATGACAGACTGTCTTAACAAAACTCTATTGACCTTAACTTCCATGTCAGACAATTTATAAGGAGCTATAAATTTTGCACTCTCTTTCAAAAATCCTATTAAAAGGTTCATAGATCCCAATTCAACAGATGAGATTTAAGAGATTTATTGTTTCAACAAAAAATAAATCTATAAGTTGCTATTAAGTATGATGCACTGCCATTCAAATGACAACTCTTTTTAATGTTCATATTGAGAGTCATGCCTCATGTGAGTAGACTCTTCAGACTCCATTATCAGAGAAAATCAAACCTATCTAGGGACATCATGTTTCATAATTTCTGTACCTATCAGTATGTGAACAATTTCTTTATAACCCTCTAAGGTCTGAAGTGAACAGTTTGACAATTCATGTTAATGTAGCTGTGTTATACTTGGGCAATAGTCTGAAACTCCCAGCATACAGACTTAAAAATTAAATATCTGGCACAGGTACAGCTCAGTGGTAGAGTACTTATAGACTCTGGGTTTAATCCTTGGAGAAGACTTCTTAAAAGTCAATCTCTTGTGTCTCCTAGAAATTTCAGAGATGCTATGCTCATGAAGTCTCACCAACTTGGCTGCCTACACATGACCTGAACAAGGACAGCACCAACAGACATGCTAACATGGGAGAGACAAAGGTGAAGCCTCAACCCTAGACAAATCACTACAGGCACTTAATGACATTCTGCTATCCTCACAGATCAGTGTCTTGTTCAGTCATCATCAGAGAAGCCCCCTTCTGGAGTGGATAGGAACAAACAGAGAACCACAACTAAACAATGTGCACAGACCTTGGAATCCACAGTCCTAAGTGGAATGTCTCCATCAAATCCCTCTCTTCAGGGCTCAAGGAACCCTGCTAAAGAGGAGGCAGAAAGAGTGTAAGAACCACAAGGGCTGGAGGACACCAAGAAAACAAGGCCCTCTACACACAGCAGGACTGAAACACATATGAATCAGAGACTATGGCAGCATCCACAAGGCCTACATGGATCTAAGCCAGGTGAGGTCTCGTGCTGAGAAGGGAAGTGGACACAAACACCCATCCCTAACCTATACACTATCTCTAACTGATAACCACTCACAAATGAAAAATTGGTTTTGATCAATGAAGTCTCACTGGAGATACAAACCACTCTTAAGGGCAGGTCTCATGTCCTGCAGTAGATGGCTAACACAAAACAAACTCAACAGCATTTTTGGAGGTTCTTTTTTTTTTTTAACTTTACAAGTCTTTTGCATATATATATCATGATTTCTGATTTTTTTGTTTGTATTATCATTTTTAGATGCCCATTTGTTTTCTAAGGAGAGAGAGAGAGAGAAAGAGAGAGAGAGAGAGAGAGAGAGAGAGAGAGAGAGAGAGAGAGAGAGAGAGGAGTGTGGATTTAGATAAAAGAGGAGGTGGGAGAATCTTAGAGGAATCAGGGAATTACAAATCATGATCAAAATATACTGTATAAAGAAAATCTATTTTCTCATATATACAGAAAACTAAGAAATGCTGGACTTCCAGTCTGGGCCCAGGCAGCAGCTCTGTACCCAACCTCACAAAACCCAAAGGAAGAGGACCTCCCAGGAGCTTTAACTCGGGCAGTATCTCAGGTAAAAATGAATCACCCGTGATGTCTGCTGTTAGAAGTTCTAATCCAGATGCTGGCCTCCAAACTTATACTATTCAGACCTTCGATGGGCCATTGACAAGACCATCAAACAGCTAGAGGTTGACATCACTAATCCGAAGAAATCCCTCGTTTCACTGTCTGAAGAGACCTCCAAAAATTGCAAAGGGCTTTATGGGACTCGATTTACTCTAGTACAATAGAAAAGACTGTGTACAGCTCTTGACTGTGTACAGCCCTTAAAGAAGAATGTTGCCTTTATATAGACAAGACAGGGATGGTTAAGGAGAGCATGAAAAAGGTCAGAGAAGGTCCCGAGAAAAGACAGAGAGAGAAAGAAAGATGAGTGCTGGTACAAGAATTGATTTTCAGCCTCTCCATGGTTGTCAGCCCTACTTCCTCCCATCTTGGGACCATTAATTGGGTTATTTTTGCTTATTTCTTCTGGTCCCTGAGCCTTAAATAGGCTGACTAACTTTGTGAAACAACAGATAGATAATTTGGTAGCAAAACCTATTCAGATACATTATCATAAGTTAGCTATGGAGGACCACGAGACTCAAGATGAGGTTGTTACTTTATACAGGGTGTTCCCAAAACCCATCTCCACCCAACCTAAAAGAGGGGACTTCTGCCCCTAGACCAAGCAGATAGGGGCCACCCAGAACCCCCTCTGACTGGCGATATGAATTCTTGCTTAGGCTTCGAGGCTAAGCATTGCAAGGGAATATAAATAAAAGTTAAAAATATCTCTCTGGGTTCCCTGAGGGACAAGGCTGACTGCATAGGGATTGATGTCAAAAGTATCCCCTCTCCAGGAAAAAGACATCTGGGTGGGTATGGCCCTCATGCCTCACTGGACAACGACAGGGGGAACGGAGCCATTACAAAGTCCCCTTCAATTACTGGAGATCAGGCCACTATTCCTGCCACAGCCCTTCTATACTTAGAGAAGGGAGGAGATGTCAGGGGCAGCCCTGCTTATACACTGAAGGCCTAAAATCAACCATAGGCCTAAAATCAGCAATAGGCCTGTCATACATGTACACTAACACCAAGTCTTGGGTCTCAGTGGAAAAACATTGAAACAGATGGCTATAAGCTATTATAAACAGGCAGCTTTTGTGGAAATTTACCAGCCTGAGTAGTCATAGACCTTGTAAATAGGTAGCCTTGGCAGATAGTACCAACTTAGATAAGGACAAGTGAATCATAGGCAGAGTCATAGTGACCTGTCCCTTGAACCTTCACCCAGCCGATATCCTGTTCTGAAAGATATCTGTATTCCCCCTGAACACCCACATTCCAGTGTCATCCCCTTCCCCACATCCTGCCTTTCTGTGTTTATAACCCCTGTGTAAATGGGTAAAAATTATGATTTGAAAAAAAATAATTAATTAATTAAAAAAAAGAAATGCTGATAATGGGAGAAATAGGTTTCCCTAGGAAAAAGCATGCAAATTGTTTATCCAATATCAAATGGTCAGTCCTGAAAACATGCATACAAGTAACATATGCACTGATCAGGTTGGATTTATATATTTAGGAAAGCATATGTATGCAATTCCCTGATTCCTCTCAGATTCTCCCCACCTCCTCTTTTATCTAAATCCACACTCCTTTCTCTCTCCCTCTCTCCTTAGAAAACAAATGGGAATATATGTAACAACAATTAAAGACAAAGAGGTTATAAACTTAAAAGAACAAGGGACTGGGCTCATGGAGTGTTCAGACTCTAAACTTTAGAGAGAGAAAAGAAGGGGAAATGATGTAATCATAATCTCAAACAAAGAAAAAAAGATTCGGTCTCATAAGAACACTTACAGAGCAATATTTTTTTTACATTTATTTATCGTGTATATGTGTGAATGTGGGCATACTTGTGCCCCAGTATACGGTGGTCAGTTTGCAGGACAATTTGCAGGAGTTAGTTCCCTCTTTCCACCATGTGGAAGTATAGAACTCAGGTCTCAAGCTTGGCAGTGGGTAGCTTTACCCACTCTCTACCCCACTCACTACCCCACAGTGAAAATACTAAAATTAAAGGTTGAGTTTCCCTTCTTATTCCTTAAGAAATTGTTCCAGAGTAGGATAACCATCCTCCATGTCCCTTAACACTTCTATTTTCCCTGAACAGGTATAGTGCAGGCAATAGCTACCTTTACAATATCAAATCCTTTTATCTTATAAAAGATC